TATAAAAATTAAATTATTTAGAGTGGGCAATCAGTAGGCAATCAGTAGGCAATCAGTGGGTGATCAGTAGGCAATCAGTGGGCAATCAGTGGGCAATCAGTAGGCAATCAGTAGGCAAGTAGTAGGCAATTAGTAGGCAATCAGTAGGTGATTAGTAGACAATCAGTAGGCAAGTAGTGGGCAAGCAGTAGGCAATCAGTAGGCAATCAGTAAGCAATCAGTAGGCAAGTAGTAGGCAAGCAGTAGGCAATTGGTGGGCAGTTAGTAGGCAGTTTATGAGCAGAGGCAGGTAGTTGGTTCCTGTTAGCTTTGTGCTGGATTTATCAGATTTGGTAAAATTCTACATACAAGTTATCTTTTTTCATTATAAAGAAAATAGTTTATTGGTCTAGCAGTATAGTGTGTGTGTTCTGTTAGTGACTCCTGCTTGGCCCATACAAAAGGCCAAGGGTTCAATCTTGTCAAGTAGCTAGTTTACAATCATTTGTACTTGAAAGTAGTATTTTTTGAATTCCCTCCCATCTATATCCTAATTATACAATTCTCTCTTTTCCCTCCCCTATAACTGAAAACATATTTACCAGAATAATTATATTTAAATTTAAATTTGACAAAGTTGAGGTTTGAAGATAAATTTTCACACTCTGTATTTAAAGTCCTAGTATATTGTAAGAGTAGGCAATTAGTAGACAGTCAGTAGGCAGTTGGTGGTTGACTTTTGGAATTAATACTATTTGTACACAGAATGATCTATACATTATTTTTATCTAATTTTATTAGAGTAAAATAATTTGCTAGGTAGTCCTTTGCTTTTGAACTACTAGTAGTACTTAGAGGTATCAATGTCAGTTGCTTTTCCCCCATACCTGGATATTGACATAGAAGCCCTTTCACATTGAAGAGACACCCTATTTCATCTGGCTTGCCTATAACCTGGACAACACAGTCTCCCTTCTTGGTTAGACAGTAAGTACTGAGTTCAGAGACAGGCAGAAGCTTTTTCAGTTCATGTCTGTAGCCATTGTTAAATGCTAGTTCTACATAGCACCTTGAATGTGACCCTACAGTCTTACACTACTCATAATCTTCCTACATATCTCTAGACTGAAACCAACCAGATTGATTATTTGAGCTCCTATAGTGAGTATAAATGGATGCTCCATTATGTTTAATAACACTTGGTACAAAGATCCACATACTAGTCTTTGAAAAGTCTAAGAGGTGAGAAATAGGGTTTTAAAAAATATTTATGACATAGATAATGAATGGCTGCCTAGATAATGTTGAGAAATGTACCTGTAACAGGCTCAAGAGGAGGTTGACAGCTTTTCTCTTCTTCTGTAAGCTACTATACACTTCTGGATGGTTCAAGATCTATAGGCTCTTCAGAGGGTAGTGTTACTCTACAATATGGTTCTTTATAATGTTTACAAGTGTATTTAGACATTAGCTTGTCAACCTTGTTCTGTTCCAGTTCTTTATCCCCTCCCAGGTATCCAAAGTTGTCCCTAGATAAGTATAAGTTATGTCTTAGCTAGCATAGTAAAACCTTACTCACAAGGACACCAGACTCAAGAGATTGAATTTTCTGATTCTGTTCTCAGGTCCAAATCCATACAACACATAAGCTATTACTAGGTCTTCATCAATACTCTACACAGTACCTGTTAGCCCCTTTGTGTGCCTAGCAGCACCTGTGTTCCCTTGGATAAGTATGTCCTGCCTAACAAATGGATTCAGAGCATCTTGATTGAATATTGCCAAATTGTACTTGAGTTCTGCAATATCTGTAGACAGTGTGGTTTGCATTACATCATACATGTTAATGTCAATCTGAGAGATAACAAATAAGTGGGTGTGAGGCACAGGAAAAGCTGTTAACTCACACTCTTTCTAAATCAGCCAAACAGTACAATAGTCAACTGTTCTCCATCCATCTTTTCCACTATACCTGTCTGTCCTGCTAAAGGCCCCTTTATAAAGATAACCACATCTCCTACAAAATAACCTGTAGCTTGAGCAACATGCCTGCCACCAGAGACCATTTCTTCCTTTACAACCCAAGCTCTCTGCACTCAGACCTATGTGTAAACTATACTTTAGTTTGGTATTAGAAGCACAGGGTTATCATATTTCTCACAAGCTTGGGTTGTTCTTTAGACAATAGTAAGACATATCTGTAGTCTACTGACTGAAGCATGATGAACCCACAAAGTCCTCTGTGTTGACCAAATTTGACCTCAACATAGTCTCCTTCCAATAGTATTTGTTGGATGTCAGTATGAAGGACTGTAATATTAGGTAAATTACTCTCACTTTGGACATTGTCTTGTGTCAAGCTCAGATTAGTGAAGGAGTCAAGAGGGCAGAGACCTGTCAGTTCACAAGTATTATTAGATATTGCTACTACAATTCCCACAAGAGCCTGACACTTATGGATGACCCTGTCTAATAGTTCAAGGAATGGTTCAGCCTGCTCAAGCTTTCCCAGGTTCAAGTGTGCAAAAGGGAAGACATTCTGAAGACTGGGATTGACCTTCTGTGTATCCTACAGATGGTTAATGTCAATTATGTAGAGGCCATTAACAAAGTACTCACCATTAAAGAGGAACTCTTTGTACAAGACTACTTTGAAAGTTTGGTCTGGAAAATGTTCTTTCAGTTTGTCACAATCTGTAAGACCTTTTAATTGAGTCCTGTCTGGCAGATGTACACAGGGTATAACAGTAACAGAGACTTTACCACCTTCTTGAATCTTCTGGACTACACTTAAAGCCTTTGAATACAGCCCTTTGCTAACTTGTACCCAGTCTCTAATAGAGAGTTCTAAACGTTTCTCCTTCTTATAGTACAGATAGTTGAACACTGTATCCATTTCATTATTAGGAACATAGTTTAATTTACAGTGCTTGAGTACTGTCTTACTGAGGATGCTCTGGACTGTACCAGGTTCAGAGGTATAGATGTAGATGTGTTTAGGGATGCTTTTGATCAAGAACACATAATGGCTGTTAGGCAGCCAAGGTTGAAGAAATTCCACTGTTGACCTTGCTGAACTATCCTAGAAAGGGGTGTAGTTTAGCACATGCAGAACATACATATCTGGTTCTACTGTTACTTGTCTTGAAGCAACACCCACAAGAAAGACAATTTCAGACTGTTCTTTATCCAGCTAGTATGGTACTAATATAAAACTAAGAAGTATCTTAGCTTGTGCCCTTCCAGAGACTGTTAAGTACACTGTAGACTACTATCTCCTCACTGTATTAGTATTGAGAACTTAAAAAAGGTACTCACTCTGACACTAATCTAATATAGAATGTAATTTGAGTGATCTATACTAGTCCTATGAGGAAATTCATTCAGTACTAAGACATTCTCCAGAATAGGGTGCTTAACTAGACTGTGCTTGACTGGACTAGGTCCAGTCCTTACTTGTTTCTTTGCCTGTTCCACCATAGTATTGATATTGTCAACCTCTACTATGTTTGAAGTCATAGAAGCCAAAGGTGGGTATTTAGGGAGTGATGAACCTGCTTTGAGTGTGTCATCTACAAAATGTAGAAATATTCTACAATATAAGTACTATATGTATACATAATTAATAGGCTACTCATCATTTCCTTCCTCTTCCTCTTCCTTGTCCTCCTCCACCTCCTCCTCATTGTCAACACCTGCTTCATTGTTAATAAATGTGGCTACAAGATCATGTAAGTCCTTCCACTATACAGTATGTGTCAGACATTTTGCTACATTATAAAGTAGTTAAATTTCTTACTTTATCTACCATAATATTATCCTACAAGATCTTGTAATACACTTGCCTTTTAGCCTATACTACTTATACTACATTAGATTAATGGCTACTATTTTCACTTTCAAGCATACAATACATACTTGCAAGCCTTGTGTACAGTACAAGAGACATTTTCATACAAAATGGCTTGTTAGTCTAACAGAAGGGAATATGTATATATATATATATATTTACATATATAGAGTTGCTGATACCTACTACAATCCCTGTACAGTTGAACCAAAATAGATATAGACACTACTGCTACATGTGTGAATACTCCTCTTACTAGGTGCAGTTGTAATGACAGAGTAAGAAGAAGTGCCAAATTTGCTTCTGTAGACTCTTGAACACACAGAATGTGGGAACCAGTTTCTAAATATGTATACAAGTCAAGCAGACATGTGTAGTGTCATCACAAATTGCTATATACAGATATAATTTCCTACATACTATGTGTTCAAAGGTCTGGCATTCTATGTCTGAACACCCTTTCTTCTTGTCACTAGTACTGTTTCTCCTCCACCCCTCTATTCTGCTCTCTTCACATTATAAACATGGCTGAGAATATCAATATGTATTATTCTTAGTACTTATAGTCTCTGAGATACTGTGAGCAGTAATCCATCCAGTTCAGAGCTGTAAGTCCTATCATCTGCTTATCTTAACTATTAAACATCCTTGTTAGGTTCCTACATAACTTTAGGGAGAGAGAAGCCTGATAGAAGGACGTCTGAGAAGAGCCAGCTATATTACTGATGCTAGTGAGTCTCTCAAGGAAGGAGTAAGTGGAGGAAGAGGCATGGCCTCTACTGATACTCTAAGGATTACAGGACTATTACAAGTTGTACTGTTTTGTACTATAGCAAATGTAGGACATAAATTCAGCCAGCTTAAGAGTGTAGGCATTTTGAAGATGCTGAATCATTATTCAACATTCCCCAACCTCCTAATAAGGTAGAGGTCACAGAGGGTGCTGTAATGTCCTCCAGACCAGTCAGAAAAACTGGAAGTCTATCTACTACTTGTGTATCTGGTCATTACCTCCTCATACCTGGATTGATTTTTTAGTGTCTTGGCCCATTTAGGGATTCTCACTATTACAGACTATAACTATCACTCTATATCCCCCTGGCCTGGGTTCAAGGTACAGGATGTTTGATTTTGGGATTTGTATTAGGCTTGGGAGAACAAATTAATGTCTAGTATGTCTTCAGAAATTCGTTTAACATTATTTTCTCACCCCTTCAGATGCTTTTCCTATTTAGCTACAGACTATTGTATATTACAATTGCCACCAGTCAGGTTTTCTATTCACTACTTAAAATTTACATATAACATACTAGTTTTTACTTGTCAAACAGGCCTTTGTAGCTTGCTAACAGTGTTTTTGAGTTGACAGCTAGACGTTTTCCTTTCCTAGGCAAACTCATACTATGTACATTATGATTGGTTCTGTGATGTTAGTGATTTTTCATTGTACATCCTCTTTTGAGAAGTACTAATTGTATTCTGAAAAGGTCATTGATGGCTTTATGAATACTAGTTTCACATTAGCCATCTTGCTCTCCACACTCACCCTTAGTATCTATCTCTTACACTCAGTACAGGAACACTTCCCTGTAATAAACAAGTGTCTGTTACTATGTACTATGTATTCAGGAGTATCTGTACTCATGTATGTTGCTACAATACCTGTCTACTTCAAAGCATCACCTGTATAGAGACATTAAGCTACTACAGTATTACTATTCTCCTTCCAGGCACTCTCACACAGTACCTCCTAACAACCTCACCATCTGTTCCCACTCAGTACCTTTGTTGCAAATGTCTCAGGTACTACACTTGTCAGTGTGTTCCATGTGTTGATACATACCTAGCACTTGCTATTGCCTAATACGTGTATAATCTTACAAGTCCTGATGGACAGGTATTATGGTTGGCTTACTATGAAGTATGCTTGTAGTAGAGGTTGGAGCACCTAGAACAAAGAGAGTATGGCTTTATGCCTTGCTCAGTTGGGGTGCCAGCCAGATACTATAACAGGGTTTGTATGTTTGCTTGATCAACAACAACAATAGTATCACACTACTCATTACATTAGATTTTGCCACATAAGCTTAAAGATAGGGACTTGGTCCAAATATTGTATTTGCATTGTTTAGGTTTAGTACAAGTTCAGTCAATCCTTAGTATCTGCCTTTTACTGTTCATTTCATCCTCCCTATTCCTACATTGTAATATGTAGTCTGACCAAGCCTAGCACAATGTAAGGTGATAGGTCAGGGTTCAATTCAGTCAACCTTTTCTATTTGCCTTTTCCTGTTCATCCACCACATTCCTGCATTTAAATACATAGCAAGACTAATCCAAGCACAGTATAGTGTGAGGAGATAGGTTAATATGCTATCTGTTAGCCTGTATAGTAGTTTCTGTAATGTATTCAGTTAGTTAATAATAAACAATAGATCTTGTTTGCCTACAGTAAGATAAGTGACTGTTTGGGTTAGTACTGTAATATTAATGAGTGCTAGTCCAGGCTGAATAACAAGAGGAAAATAAATAAATATTAAGGTTGAGTATATAGAAGGTCTTACTTACCCTCTTAGCAACAAAGAATAGTGGGGTCCAAGCCAGGTTAAGTCTGAGTTGAATATAGTAAAGTCTCAATCCAAGAGTTGTGTATTCTTTCTCAAAAGAGTATCCTAAGTAAAACAGGAAACTAAAATAAATAAATTTTGACAATGTCATACTAGGAAGACAGGTTAACATTGTTGGTAAAAGCTTTATCAGTAAGATGTGAAATGTATCACATCCCTGTATGCTCTGTGCTTTTTAATACAGTTGCTAAAGTATTAGAGATGGTACAGGTTGCTTATCTAATTATTCACATAGAGGCAAGTGTGGTCTAAATACAGAAACTACTCAATTGTTCAGCCTTATACAGTTGTGGTTGTAGTGAATTTGATGTTAGACTGTACAGATTCCTTTGGAAAAGGCAAACTATAGCAGACTGGAAAATGGAAACAGTAGTCATAACAAGCAATGTAGCATACATCCTGCTTATGCTAAATAAATATTTCTCAATATTATGAAACAACAGAGAATATATAACATTTGTCTTTAGTAAGAAAGAGGTAAAGCTACAAGCTATTTAGTACTTCTTTATTATGGACCTTCCTCTCCAACTTCTTGATTCTTTTCTCAAGGTATAGCTGCTTTGTCTAATAAAGAGAACAGAGAAGAGTTCTTCCCTCTAGACACTTTAGGAGCCTCTTTTCCTTCTTCTCAGAAAGGACACTACATTTACAACACAGACAGTACTCTTTACAAACAGGGCAGATAAAAGCATTGCTTTGATGATTGAATACATAACAGGGGTTGGGCACAGTACTTGCATTTACTGCCACAACCCTATAATTGCTACATAATGTTGATCCAGGCAAGGCCTGGTCATCTTCAAAGGCCAACAGACTGATTGGCAACAATTTAACTAGGCTGTTCAATTTTAAATATGAGTGAACTAGACTTACTTAGCAAATACACTATCATTATCAGTCACAGAAAACTGAGAGCCACAGTCTGTATCTGAAGAGGATATATCTGTGTTGATTGATACTGTGTCTAATGTGTCTATGTTTTCCTGTTACAGCTCTCCCAGGAAGTTCTTTTCAAGGAACAGTGTTTGAGGGAAACTGCCAGGAATCAGTTAGCTATCACAACCAGGCAAAACTTATTACATACAAAACTGCAAAATATTCTGTGCAAAACAATGTTCAGCATTGTATACAACACATCTTTTGCTATTCACAGTTCCTACCATCAACTTTCCCTCTATTACACTCATGACAAGACTCAGATGCAGGTTCCTAAAGATGTTTCAAGAGTTTCTCTCAATATGATTACAACTTTGCTCAAAGAAAGTCCAGGTCTGAAGATCTACTAGAGTGCAACTTGACAGGCTCACTTCTCTCAGATACAACTTGGTTGCCAACAGAACTTGAGTCTCTTGATACAATATGTGAAAATTCTGTATGAAACAGTCATAATAGTGTAGAGAACTCACACATTTTGGCTTGCTACATTATACTACTCATGCCCATCTATTATGTTGAATGAAGTCCCTGCATCTAGAGTTGGATAAGGCTCTAAAGTCTGAATGTTTAGATGTCAGAAACGTTCAGATATTTCCAACTGTATAATACTATACTGAGTATTGCCTATACATATCTGTTATGTTGAAAGAAGTTCCAGCATCTGAGAATGGATAAGGCTCTAAAATCTGAATATTTAGATGTCAGAAAAAATTCAAATATTACTGACTGTATGATACCATACCAAGTATTGCCCCTGCCCATCTGTTATGTTGAATGAGGTCCCTGTGTCTGTGGTTGGATAAGGCTCCAAAGTCTGAATGTTTAGATGTTAGAAACATTCAGATACTTCCAACTGTATGATACTATACTGAGTATTACCTATACATATCTGTTACATTGAAAGAAGTCCTAGTGTCTAGGAATGGATAAGGCTCCAAAATCTGAATAGTTATACATTAGAAAATGTCCAAATATTTTCAACTGTATAATACCATACCAAGTATTACTCCTGTCCATCCACTATGTTGAATGAAGTCCCTATGTCTGTAGTTGGATAAGCCTCTATGAGTAATACTTGGTATAGTATTATACAGTTGGAAATATCTGAACGTTTCTGACATCTAAACATTCAGACTTTAGAGCCTTATCCAACCACAGACACAGGGACCTCATTCAACATAACAGATGGGCAGGGGCAATACTCTGTATAGTATCATATAGTTGGAAATATTTGAATTTTTTCTAACATCTAAATATTCAGATTTTACATATCTGTTATGTTAAAAGAAGTCCCAGTGTCTGGGAATGGATAAGGCTCCAAAATCTGAATAGTTATACATTAGAAAACGTCCAGATATTTCTGACTGTAGGATGCTATACTGAGTATTGCCCCTGCCTATCTGTTATGTTGAATGAAGTCCTTACATCTGGGAATGGATAAGCCTCCAAAATCTGAATATTTAGATGTCAGAAAAAATTCAAATATTGCTGACTGTATGATACCATACTGAGGATTCCACTTGTGGCAATATACTT